GGCGCACGCGGCGGCTTCGCCCCGCCCCTCTCCCTTCTCAGCCAATAGCGGTGGCCTCCGGCGGTTTCGCCCCGCCCCTCTCCCGGTTCAGCCAATGGAGGAGGTTCCCCGCAGCCACGCCCCCACGCTCCGCGGCGCCACGGCGCCTGCGCGGGGAGGGGAGGGAGGGGGGGAGCGGGAGAGCGCCCCCTGGGGACGGGCGGGGGGAGCGGGTCCGGCCCGCGGGGCCTCGGCTCGGTGTGGGGGCTGAGCGGGGCCTGGAGCCCGGAGCGGGGCCTGAACCCCCTTTCACGGGGCCTGACCCCTTCCTGTGGGGTCTGAACCCCCCTTCATGGGGCCTGTGTGGGGCCTGAACCTCCTACATGGGGTCTGAACCCCTTTCATGGGGCCTGAACCCCCACTGTGGGGGGCCTGAACCCCGCCCTGGCAAAAAAGAGCCCCGGTCCCTGCGACGCCACCGCGGCCACTTTCTAACCCACGGCTTCAAGTTCAGCCCCACGAGGCTTTTCTTTCCCCTTTTTTAACCTTAAAAACCACGAAGAACCACAGAAAAAGCCACCACGAGGCTTTTTTTCCCCCTTTTTTTAACCTTAAACACCACGAAGAACCACAGAAAAAGCCACCACGAGGCTTTAAAGCCCCAGAGGGGGACAGGAGCGACCGCCGTGGGTCGAGGAGGAGACGACCCGAGGTCGTCGGTGATCCCAGGTGGAGAATTCCAGCCCTAAAACTTCAGAATTCGGCAACAAATTACCAACCCCATCCCTTTATTACCCCAAAAATCATCCTCCGGCCAACCCGGAGCGCGTCGCTGCCGGCAAACCCCGCCACGGAACCGGTAATCCCCTTACGTTGCGCCGCTTGCGCCCATTTCACAGATGGGTAAGGAGGAAGGTTGAATTCTGCTCTCCTGGGTGGCACCGGGAAACGCTGCCGGTGCCGGGGAGGATCCGTCCCGTCCCGTTACCCCTCTCTTGGCGTCACCGACTCCGGCGTCGGCTGTTTCCCTTCGACGTGGGGATGGGAGCGTCGGGGTTACCGGTGAGTCACCGGCACCGGCCGCCTCCTCCGCTCCCCCCACGGGAAACCTCCGGGAGGGAGGCGGCGGGGAGGAGACAACCTGTAATTATCCCGAAGGGAGAAACTCCCCTTTCCTCCCAAAACGAAAAACCGGGATCAACTTCGGGAGTTGTTTTCGTCCTGCCCGGAGCCGGCCCCGTTAAAACCGGGAAGGGAGGG